GGGATCCCTTGAAAGTATATTACTCGTGATAGGTTGATAGACATTATCAAGGCCCATTAAAAACTGCATAAGTTTTATTAACTAAATGTCATTGAAAAACTCTTGAGAAGCATTACATGTGCAGGTGGGAAGAGTAACAAGTGCATCAAATTGTTTCCATAGAGAATTTAGCTTGTGATAACATTCAGAAACAAAAGACCCATTTTGACTTAAATAGTTAATTTTTTGATATATTTTTGAAGGTAACAGACTCATCAACTTTGTCATATGTTTCTTTTAATTCTTCCCATACTTTAGAGGAGTCCTTTGAAAACACTTGACCTAAAAACAAATCTTTAGTTACAGAACTTGAAATCCAACTTAACACAACAGAATTACATTTATCTCATTGTTTTTGAAGAATAGAGTCATCAATGGGTCTAACACATGTTCCATCAATTAATCCAAGTTTGTTCTTGGTTTCAAGAGCCAAGGTCATAGCACAAGCCCATGTTCGATAATTGTCAGTACCATTTAACTTCAAGTTTAAATTGGGTGTTCTACTGGTGTCACTAGGATGAAGATACAAGGGATCACCAAAATCTAATTTAGCAATTTGGGACATCCCTTGAGTCTTAATGACAACTGATGAACCAACCATACAAAAGAACACAAACAATCAACCAAAAAACGGTGGACAAGATAGCAACCAGCAGGATTCCTAAAACACTCAGAGGTTCAAGCCAACTATCCAGCCACACAACAGGAAACACAGCACAAGAAACAACAAAAAGGGCAGACAAGAAAGCAAGCGACAGGACTCCTAAAACACTCAAAGGTGCTAGGTCAAGCCAACTATCCAGCCACACAATAGGAAACACAGCACAAGAAACAACAAAAAGGACAGATAAGAAAGCAAGAGACAATATTCCTAAAACACTTAAAGGTGCTAGGTCAAGCCAAACTTTCAAGCCACAACAAAACGAACCACAAGCAGATCAAGCAGTAAGAAAGAGAGCATGTCTATAGGCCAAAAACATTGACTCAGTGCCCTTACTATTGACAGGAAGGGAAAGAAGACTTACAGAGATTATTGAATAACCGAGAGCATATAGAAGAACACCACAAGTGAATCCAGAAGCATAGAATAACCTTAACCACAATAGCAAGGAAACAAACGAAACAAAAAAAGGGCCTCGCACAACGGAGGAAAAGAAGAAGACTTGTTATAGGGTCTTGGATAACACCAAGAGTAAAAAAAAACTAGAAATCTTACAAACATAAGCCACAAAATCGATTATCCGAACACCAAACCACAATGTTCTTCGATGGGAAGAACATGCAGAAAACCAGATTTAAGAAAAGGGTAAAGAAACTTACATCTAAATGTGGATGAATAGCAGTAGATCGAATGAGAAAGATCTCAATTCGAACAATGAGTGAATGTACCAAGAACATTCAGGTCTGAAGAGATCAAATCTTTTAAGAAACCAACAACTACTCTTTTCGAACGACGAAGACAAACAACAAGCCACCAGATCAAAGACGTTCTATACAACTTAGAACAAATCAGGCTCTGATACCATGTACAAGTTAATCAATCTTTTTTATTTATGAAAAGAAGGTAAACAGAAACCCTAAAAAACCCTCAAGAAGAAGAGAGTACATATAAATGTTGAAAGAATAACATAAAGGAAAATTAAACGATTTGAAAGATAGCTCCTAATTAGAAAACAAACAACTTAAATACTTAGCCAAAAAATACACAAATGATCCTTGAACTTTCATTAAATATTCATTGGTGACCTCCAGCTCTTCACATCTTTAGCTTAGATCCTTAAGTTTCCACAAATCTACAAAAATACCTTTTTTAACATAATTTCCTACAAAATAAGACCAAAAGCTTATAAATGACAAGATTGAACTACAATAGACAATATCTAACAGTTTCACATATGTTTGTGTTCACTTTACCAAAAAATTGCATGTGAATTTTGTTTTGATTCACTTAGTGAATTGGAAATGCACATAAAATATATTCATATGGTGAAACAAATACATATGAAACTATCACATTATGAAGCAATATCTTAAATCCTAATATTTGATGGAAAAAAATAATGTAAAAATTATTTTTAAATCGGTTCTTACGGAGTTTGTAATATTTTTATGGTTTTCATTTGATTTAACTCCTACACACACATATATGAAATTATTAATTTAATATATTAACACATTAAATATTTAAATATTTTAACTATACTAGAGTGTACTCGCGCATTGCAGCGAGATACATCGTGATTTTAATATTTTATTTTATTATTTATCTCAATCGATGTTATAATATGACTTTATGTAATTTTGAGAAAACGATGATGTTTTTATTTTTGAATAAAATATATGTTTGAAGATATCATAAAATTTTGACAAAAATATATTGATATTAGTATCAAATTAACTATTTGAAATTCCTCATTTTTTTGTGTAATTTTTTAATTCAATTTTTTTATAATTTAATTTATGTACAATAACAAAGTAATTTATATTTGGTTTAATAATATAATTT